TCTGCAGTCACTGTACACATGAAGTTCACATATGTACATGCAGGCAAAACATTCCTACACATAAAATAAAAATAAGTTAAAAATTTTAGAAATATATTTTTAAAAAGAATATTTGTAGGGCACCTCTGCATATATTAATTACCCCAAGGGCAGTGGGTTCAAAGTTGAGTCTTGGTAGCTGAAGAGGAAAAACAGTACTTCCCTAAACTGATATGGGTCCTTCTGAAGAGTCCCTGGTGGGTAGAGAGCCATGAGACCGGGGAAGCAGGCTATAGGGTAGCCAAATTGAGGCAACATCCAAGAGGAAATGTTTTCTTTAACTTGATGTGAAATTTCCTATGAATGAAGCAGCCTTTTTTGGTAGATGCAAAGTCCTGCTATAACCTGAGTTTCCACTGCACTTTGTCTTTGTGTGTGAACTTAAAAGTTTACCTGTTAAACTGATCTGGTCTAATTAATTGGAGCAGGTCTTTAAAATTCAAACTCCATTGTTCTTTGCAGATGGTCTGAGAGAGTTAAAATACACACACTGTGTGGGAGGGAGACCTTGCCTTTCCAGGGAGTACATCTTCCCCACTGCATAGTCAAAGAACTCTCCCAGGATGAAGCAGACTTCCAACATGCTGTTAGGTTACCCCACTCTAGCACTTAAGAGATATGCTCCCAACAAGTTCTCCCCAGATCCTAGCTCATGGATGTAGCTCTGGAACTCAAGTCTCCTAGATGGCTAGAAATTTTGTGATACTACCCATAAGTGAATGACTTCTTGAGATCAGAAATCAAGTGTAATTAGGAATTGATAATATGTTTAATTTCCTTTGCATGGAACTTAACCTAACAGCTAGTATAATAAAAGAATGGGCCACATCACTTCACAACAATGTTACAATAACAAATAATTTGATATGTTGCCCGGAGTTCCTTAAGAAACTATCAAAACAATACATGAGAAAAATAGGACAAATGTCTGCATTTTTGTAAATTTATGTCAAAAGTGTGTAAAAATCCAATTCCTCAATATGCATATGATATTTAAAAAAATTTTTTTTGAGATATGGTCTCACACTATAGCCCTGGCTAGCCTGGAACTCACTATGTAGACAAGACTGGCCTTGAAGTCACAGAGATCTGCCTGCCCCTGCCTCCCGAGTGCTGAGCGCAGGCCTAAAGACACACACAACCATGCTTGGATCTTGATCTATGTTCTTTGGTCCCTATTGCCTATTAAATACTTTATAAAGTATCTACAGAAAGAGAAAATTGTCACAGAGTCGTATCTGATCATACTAACATCTCCTTAGGGGCCCCAAATGACCTATAATTGCATTTTGTTCTAAGATACAATGGAGATCAAGCAGGAGATGGAAAAATATCTTCCAAGTTTGTTATCTTAACTTTTAAAAGAAACATTTGTGTGTGTGTGTTTGTGTGTGTGTGTTTGTATGTGTGTGTGTGTGTGACATCATCAGGTCATCAAGCTTGAAACATTTAGCTGAGCCATCTCCCTGGCCCCTCAACAAAATATTTTGCTATGTGATGAGCAATTATTTCTCACAATTTTGGGTATTAGATGAGTGATTCTTATTTGAGTTCAATCAAGGTTTGTGAAAAATATAGATAATAAGCAATTATAGATATTAGACATTATCTTTTATTATGAAAGAATTTATATACAACAACCTGATGTTTGGGAATGTAAGTATCTCTGAGATTCTAAGTATACATATTTGTACTCATACGGATTGCCAGTTTGCTAATTCAACTATAATAATGAAACAAAACAATGGCTCCAAAGATATTGCTTCTTCCGTGAGTCCTTTGTGAAGCTCCACTAAGTATGAATTCTACATAGCTGTTATTATGCAGATTACAAAGTGCTAGACTTAAGGGGAGGAAACTCTAAGGAGGGCTTACATACTCCAGAACATGTGGCAAAACCAGAAAATGTTAATCCTGCTTGGGGCCTCAGAGGTGATTTCTAGGACCTTTACCTTTTCATCAAGGTAGAGAACAGGCACTCTGAATCACATCTACAGTGAGAACAATTCTGAATTCCACTGCTAAATTTGTTTCCTATGCTTTCTTTTCTTTTTTCGCTTCTTTTTTGTTTGCTTGCTTTGGGGGACAGGGTCTGTCTCCCTGTAGCCCCATCTGACCTGGAACTCACTAAGTAGCCCAGGTTGACCTTGATGTCTGAGTTCCACGGGCCAGCCTCTCCCTCACAAATGCAGGAATTACAGGCGTGCTCTACCACACCCAATTTCCTATGCTTTCTTAAGGGAGGGAAATGGAAAGATACCCTTTCGCTAAGGGAGATTTGCAGCCTGGGTCTTTTTTTTTTTCCTTTGACACAGACTACAGAATTTTTTGTTTTTTAGAAGTAGTTTGTAGTCACCGGTCATGGTGGCACACGCCTTTAATCCCAGCACTCGAGAGGCAGAGGCAGGCAGATCTCGGTGGGTTCAAGGCCAACCTAGTCTTACATGGTTAGTTCCCGTAGGAACTGGGAGACCCTGACTCACAAAGACACCCCCCCCCCGCAAACGACGACCACCACCACCACCACAACAGCGTAGTTACTAGAAAATAGTATTTTAATCTTAATCTATGATTTTTGCATAATATCTTAAAAAGTGATTTTACTTTTCTTGCCTGAAGATGGATACATATTTTTGGCATTTAAAGAAGTTGAAGAAGGAATAATTTTTCGATTAAAAAAAAACCCTCAAGATAATGATTTTTAGCTATTTCAAATCTAGAGAAAATTGTGTATATTTATTTTCTTTTTCTTTTAGTATGTATATTTTAAAGCTGTACAAAGTCTTCATTGTTAAATATTCTTAGGTATAGAAGACCTGTTATGTACGTCATTCTAGCTTTGTTTTCATTGAAACACAGTCAAGCCAAAAGACTGAGAAAAGAATGGAAACATCCCCACCTAGTGGCTTCATGCGGTAGTTAAGGAAACTAAAACGAGGAAGTATCTCCACCGCACGGTTAGAATGAGCCTGCAGGCCCAGGGCAGAATGTGGTTTAGTTAATGTTTACTTAAATATTAACTTCCCAAGTAAAATAAAATGAAAATAGTGGGCATTTGGAATTAAATTGAAAATAGGCGGAAATGCTATTTCTTTAAAAAAAACTTTTTAAAATTGACTATTTTATGTGTATGAGTCTATTACATGTAGTGTATGTATGTAAGTGCACTCATGCGTGCGATGTCCGTGGGGGTCCGAAGAGGGCGTTGGATCCCCTGGAACTGGAGTTACGGATGGTTGTTAGACACTGTGTGGGCGCTAGGAACTGAACTCTGGTCCTCTGTAAGAGCAACCAGTGCTCTTAACCACTGAGCCCCTTGGAAAGGTTATTTCCGTCAAAAAAAAAAAAAAAAAAAAATGTGTGTGTGTGCGTGTGTGTGTGGTGCTGAGGAAGGAACCCAGGGCCTTGGATGTGCTGGGCAAGCTACTGAACAGGAGCCACACCCAGCTCCTCCTCACCTCACTGATAAATCCTAACATATGTTTCTACAATATTGCCATAGCTGACAAGGGGGTGAAATTTTTAGGTGGAACAATGTTCTGAGGCTTGGTTTCTTTTTTTTTTTTTCTTCTGTGCAAAAATCTCAGGGTTAACGGGAGTTTGCTTCATCTTTCTCATGTGGGTAGCTCTAGGTAGGTATGCTTAGTGGATATCCTCAATAAGCAGTTCTTGAATGACTGAACAGAAAATGAGATGATCTTATAAAGTCATAAGGGCATAAGGGTTAATGTAAAAGCAAAAGCAAACAAGCAACACTAAATGTTCGCAATGTGGCTGGACTATTTTAATTACAGTATCAATTTTAAATTTTATTTGTATAAGAATGAATTTAGGAGCCAGCACTTGGGAGGCAGAAATGTCACCGGCAGAGCTCTGTGAGTTTGAGGCCAGCCTGATCTGCATAGTGAGACCTGTCAGGGGCCAGCGATGGCTCAGTGAGTAAAGGTATATGCTGACAAACCTGATGTCTCCTGTGGTGGAAGGAGAGAAGAAAGTTCTGCAAGATGTCCTCTTGCTTCCATATATGCAACCGTCACACACAAAATAAGTAAAAATTAAAAATACGTTTTAAAAAAGAATGAATTTAAGGGCTATTGAGATGACTTAGTGAGTAAGGGTGTCTGCTGCCACATCTGACCACCTGGGTTTGGTCCCTGGGACCCATGTGGTGGAGGGAGAGGGACAACTCATGCAAGTTGTAGTCTGAGTTCCATACGTGAGCTGCAGGTATGTGTGTGTACGTGTGCATGCACATAAATAAATAAATGTAATTAAACAAAAAAGAATGAATTTAGATATAAAAACCTTAACAATTACACAAAAAGCAGTAGTCAGATATCAAAGCAAGTAATCTGTGTTAATAAACACAGTTAAGAGCACTGGCTGCTCTTGCAGAGGACCCAGATTAAAATCCCAGCACCTCCATGGTGGCTAGCAACCATCCATAACTCCAGTTCCAGGGGATTTGGTGCGGTCTTCTGGCTTCTGTGAGGACTGCACAACACAGGTGCACTTACATACATGCAGGCATAACACTCATACACATAAAGTAAAAATAAATAAAAAATTTAAAGAAAATTTTAAAAGAAATTAAAGGTGTATGAATATTATTCAGATTAGAAAGAGTTTGGTCAGGAGAACACTTTTAGGAAATCCATTTTCCTATTATGAGGTTTGTATATATAGTAATTACTGAGTTCAGTTCATTCCTTGAGTGATATCTACCTAATATTGTCAAAATATTAGACATAGCTTCTAAAGGACTTTAAGAATTTTGGAAGTAAAGCACATAGGCAAACATAAAGAAGTTGCCAAGCAGCAAAGTATGCAGAAGATGTGACTGGGCTCACATGCTTGTTCTTGCTTTGTTGTTTAACATTTACAGTCTTGTAATGAAATGATGTGGTGCTGTTTTTCACATAAATGTCAATTGAAATGCCATATCTTTGTTCTCTTTATAGAAAGTATCATCATCCACCAGTTGCGAATGAACTCCAGATGAGATTAGCAAGCACATGCCGGGTGTGTACTTCTTGAGTCCCTGTTGAATGGATGGTGTTTCTGCCTCTCAGTCTCACTAAGGTCCTCCACTACTGAGCATGACTGGAAGCACCTCGCCACTTCCAGTGATTTTTTATTTTTTTGAGGATACTAAAAGTCATGTGGATAATATGAACACATGTAGCAAAAGCAATCGAGTCTTTATGCCAAAATAAATTTTCCTTCCTTTTGCAAACCATTCAGGTCTGTGGGCACATGCTATATAATTTATTTTTATAATGCAGTTTGTAATGTGATTTTTCCCTAAACTATTTCTTTTCTCAGTCTATGGCACATATGGCACAGATATGGCATATCTGTAGAATACACTGTCAGTTCTTCTAAGTACTGATATTGCTTATTCAAAATGTTAACCTATTATTATTTTCCTTTTATTAATTTGTTATTTTTAAAGCAAAGAAAGCACAACACTATATCTTCTTGGGTAACTTTAAGAGGTAAAACCTAGAAACTGTAGATTCCGAGAATTTTATTAGTGCTTGTATGATTATGGTTCAACACTAAGATCGGTACTGTGACAGGATTTGAAGCACTTAAAAATCAATTTGTAAGTTCCCTCCTAGTGTTCTATAAGGGAAACAAACAGCTTTGACTAGTAGTTCAGTATTATTTCTATCTGCATCATTGACTTCTATGTATGAAGCACAGTAAGAAATGTGATATCAAAATGCTCCCCAAGTATCATCCCCAGTGCAAGGTTGCAAATAAAAACCGATCTGAATGTCAACATCTTTTAAAAATCAAGGAGACCCAAAGAGAATCACTTCCCTCTGTTTTTGATAGACTTTTATAACCACATATATTATTCAAATCTCAAAGTCAGAGGTGCTGTTGCATATAGGTTTATGTAAAAATGCTCATCTGAAGTTTACTTGAAACTCTAATAATTCATTTTTTTAAACTATAGATTAAAAACAATACTGTTAATGTGGGTGTATTTTCCAGACGGTCTTTAAAGTAACTGGATAAATTAATCCAGTTTCTAAAGGCAGAAGTCATTTATCATATCGCTTTCCTGTGATTGAAGACAGAACTCTTACTCCTGAGTAAAGCCACCCAGTAGCTCATTGTAAGCTCATCTGTACAAGCCACAAGCTATACCTATGTCCACAAGCTGCAGAGGGGAGTTTACAGAGTTTCTGAAATGGAAAAACAATGCTAAATTTCCCCCTGCAGTAACTTTGGAAGGTTTCTAAGTGTATTCTGTGAAACTGGTAAATCATAGCCAGCATAAATTAAATAACTATATCTTCTAAAAGTTATTCTTGCTTTTATTTTTTTAGGCAAAAGAAATGTTATGTTAGGCTTGTCCTAGCTCCAATGGTAGTGGAAGTCTCACATAACCTTCTGACGTTTGGATTATTGACCCAGAAAACTACAGTGTGTACATGTGAAGATTTGAAAAAATTGTTACTGTTAGGTTTTGGTTTTTGGAAATGCTTAAATGTAATGATGTTTGCAATTATAAACCAGTTTTATTTAGCATTTTTATACTGAAAGGGAGGTGAAATTTTTAGGTGGCACGATCACCTGAAGCCCATTTTCCTTAAATTAAAATATTACTAGTAATTCATATATATATGTATCTGAAGGGTTTTTTCTCTCCTGAATTGTAATGAATGTGGTATTTGCAAAGACAATGAAGATTATGGTGCAACCAGTCATCTTGGAGATGCGGATGCTCTTCTGTATTATGATCACGTTCCCTGCTTAAACTAGAGTGGCAGATAAGTGCAGAGTACATTAAACTTGAAATAAAACAAGAGAATATTAACAGACAGGATCACAGTCACATCCAGCAGCCACACCCAATTGCCTTTGCCCACAATTCTGGCATTAGCCTGGATCGCATCACATATTATTTACTGTAAATATGTCTCTTCTAATCTGAAAGAGATTGGTTTTTTTTTTTGTTTGTTTTTTGTTTTTTGAGACAGGGTCTCACTATGTAGATCAGGCTGACCTTGAACTCACAGGAATCTGCCTGCCACTATCTCCTGAGTATTGAGATTGAAGGCGTATGTATGCCTCCACTCTTGATGGGAATAATTTTTGAACGGAATGAAATTATTTTTAAAATAATTTTTAAATATCTTAAGTGTAATCAGTATTTCTAGTTCAAAGCACAACTGAAGTAATTCATTATTTTACACTTAGTTTTTGAAAGAGGGTCTATTTAGCTCAAGCTGCCCTCAAACACCTGAGTGCTGAGCTCAGCCACTTGAGTACTAGGATTACAAGCATGTGTCCACAATATTGACTGCACTTTTCTTCATGATAACAGTGATTTTTTTTCTTTTTGATGATACCATGATACTTCTGCAGATTTTTTCAAGTGTTCATAAAGTATTGGGCTTGATTAAGATTACTATATATATATTTGATGCTAGAACCTGGAATATGCATAAAATATTAATTCATTGAGTCTTAGGACAACCATTAAAAAAAATCATGATGTGAGGGTTGGAGAGATGGCTCAATGGTTAAGAGCACTTGCTACTCTTGCAGAGGACCTGGGTTCAGTTCCCAGCACCTACACTGTGGCTTAGAACAGTCTGTAACTCCAGCTCCATGGAATCTGATGCCTCTTCTGGCCTTCAAGGGCACCAGGCATGCACATGGTACACATACATACATGTAGGAAAAACTTAAATATATGCTATAATAAATATATCTTTAAAAATTCGTGATGTGGAATATTTAGTTTATGCATTAACAACAACACAAACATTACTGAAACTGACATCTTGTAAAAATCAGTAGCAGAGCAAGAGTAAATGGTTTATCTGGAGTGCAGTGTTTTCACCATTCTATTAATGTCATGGTTAACTTTCCTGGGAATACGTAAAAGACATGGCAAAAGTAAAATACGCTCACAAATTGAGCAGCAAATCTAAAAATAGCAAAAATACAAAATGAAGCTTAAAAAACACAGTGAGCTTAAAAAACACACTGAGGCGCATGGTCTCTGTACCCACAGTGCTAAACCAATACTAAAAATAGAAGGCAGAGGAAAATGAATAAAAACTGCTGTAACTGACTTATAAAGATGAGAAATTAGATGCCCATTAGTAATCTTCCCCTTAAAATTTCAGCATTTATTCCACAATTATGTAATAATAATGGTGTGTGCTCTTTTGGGAAAACCTGAGTTTCACTAACTTTAGCATGTTTTCTTTATGGATGCCGTGGTGTGATACAATGAGTTTCTGGGGTTTTTTTTGTGTGTTTTCTTTTGTCGTTGTTTATTCATGTTATTTGGGGAATTTTAACTTATCGTCCAACAGATTTTGGTTCTTTACCAGTGCAAAACTGTATTTTTAATCGAAATTTTATTTTTAAAATATAAGATGTTGGTTTCTCCAATATAAGAAACTTACAATGTGGTCAGTTAGTCTTAGACTTATTGAAGTTTTTAACAGATTTTTTTAAAGCAAGAGTAGATTTCAGGAAACTTTTGGAATGATATTTTATTTCATACCATTCTTCATTTTGTCTCCTTTGAGTTCTATTAGAGACTGAAGCCATGTGGATTTGTGCACTTGTCCTTTATCGAATGTCATACCCTAATTTTAGTTCTTCATGGGTGATTGAAACAGCTCAGTTAAGATAGCCTCTGTGCTACTTTGAAACTCAAGTGTGTTTATGGAAATCTCACCAGAGAATTAAAAATGAGAATGAAATATTAAAACATCATGCAATATCCTTTTTGCATTGGAACACAATAGTCATAAAATTAAAATAATTTAAAATAAATTTACAACTCTTTTTTTTAAAGTTTTATGTGTATGTGTGTGTGCCTGAGTGTATGCACATACTGCATGTGTGCATGTCTCCCTGGAGACCAGAAGGAGTCAGATTCCCTGAAACTTGAGTTTTGGGCAGTTGTGAGCCTCTTGATGTGGGTGCTGGGAACTGAATCTGGGTCCTCCACAAGAACAGCAAGTGCTTTTAATTGCCGAGCCTTGTCTCTAGCCCCACAACTTTCTTTTATTCAAAATTATTTAAGATAGCTTTTAGCTCTGCCGTCCATATTCTTTTAGTGTCTTTCATGACGTCTTTTGCTATGAATGTGCAGATGTGAGAGAGAATGATTGCCAAAAAGAGGGATGCGTTTTCTTTCGGTTACACCACAGTTTGATTCAGTAAAATGAAAACTAAGACTTCTACCAGAAGGAATTGGCTAGGGGTCACCTTGCCCCTTTTCCACCATCAAATGAATGCAGTGTCAATCAGCACCCAGATCTCAGTCTCCTCTTTCTACTGTCAGTCTAAAAGCAAAGTGCTGCCAGCAGGCCTGTTGGAGGTAATGGCAGTTTGTGAAATGGTTTCCATAAAATAGGGTGGGGGCGGTGAAGTGGGCTATGTTCAACCTCTTGTATCTATCTGCCCAGTGCCAGAAATGATGGCCCATAACCACATCTAATACTAACTTCTCTTTACCTTATTTGGAATAAAGGAATAGGTTTCTCCTGTTTATTAGTTAGAGATATATTACTAAAGAAGCAAAGAAGGGGTCAGATAGATAACTCCCCGGGTAAAGGCTCTTGCCACCAAGCCTGATGGCCTAAGTTTCATCCCTGGGACCTACATGGTGGAAGGAGAGAACCAACTCCCACAACCTGTCCTCTGACCTCTAAATGTACCCATGGCACAAGTGCCCACACACACATAAAATCAGGTGAACACACACACACACACACACACGTAATAGATGTTTTTTAAAAAGTAGACAAGGATATAAAACGCTTTCTTCAACAACTTGTAGCTGCTAGAGTCTCTGCTCCCAGTGGCCCTTACGACAGCATGCACAAGACTAGTGCCAACCCAAGTTAGGCAGGGGCCCAGCACGGATAGTGGAGGTGGCAGGAAGCTCCAGTCCTAGCTGAGGATCTATTGGCTATAGACTCTGGGAGAGGAAGAGTCAGCTTTCCCTTACTGGTGTAATGCCTGCTGGAGAGTTGACCAGACTCCAAAGGAATATACTCACACCCAAGAGCATTTAGGAAACATAGACTTGATAGGCCTTAAAAAAAAAAAAAAGGCAAATAATAATAGAGAACACAAAGTGGGCAGGGGGGTAGTAAGGTTAGGGTGGAGAAGGGAGCTGAGGTCTGAATATGACCAAAATACACTGTATGAAATTCCTAAATCAATAAAAACGTTTAAAAAGAACACTGACTGAGGAAATCATTCATTTCTCTTTATAAGAGAAAATATCCCAGGGCCTAAACTATATTTAAATGGATTTATTCCCTTTCAGCTCCAGGCTAGTAACCTTTAATGAGCTCTGGGCTTTTCCCTTCGGTAAGGAAACCAAAGCAACATCCCTTGGTCCCATGTTTGTTGGCAATCGGGCATGTGGTCTACTCTTGAAGCAACTGTGAAAGAAAAAACTACTTTCCTTCCCTTCAGGACCCTATTTTCCACATTGACTGGTGTTTCAGTTCCCTGCATGAGATGTCAACTTGATAAAAAGCTCAGGGCTGGAGAGATGGCTCAGCAGTTGGGGGAACTGACTGCCCTTGCAGAGGACCCGGGTTCGAGTCCCAGCACTCACATGGCGGCTACGAACCGTCCTTAACTCCAGTTCCAGGGGAATCTGAGACGCGCTTCTGACCTCTGCAGCATTGCACGACACGGGTGCACTCACATGCATGCAGGCAATATACTCATACACATAAAAAAAAAATATTTTTTAAAAAAGGAAAAAGCTCAGTGTGGCTCACAGTTTTTTTAAGTTTCAGTCCATGGTGCTTGGCTCTGCTGCACACAGTGAGTGTGATGAGTGGTGAGTGGGTGTGGTATAGGACACCTGTTCACTTCATGGTAACCAGGAAGCAAAAAGAGAGACAGGGTTCCAGTATCCCTTCAAGTGCATGCTGTAATGACACAACTTCCTCCCTAGCCACCCCACTTCTTTATAGCTCTACCGTCGCCCAGTAGCATCGTGAGCTGGAGATCAAGTGTTCAACACATGGGACTTTGAGGGACATTCCAGATTTAAGCTATAGTAACTGGTACTGTTAGACAAATCTATCTGCTTGGTTTATACACTTACTAAAAAAATGACTTGCATATTACTCATAGTCAATTCAAGAAACTGGACAAAGAACCAAAACTGGTTAGTGTATAGTGTTTATACAAGATATCAGATGTGTGTTTGTGTTGGGAATTGAACCTGCGCTTGACACGTTAAGCTTGTGTTCTACCATTAAGCTCCACCCTGGTCTTTGGATGTTTTTAAATGGCAGTTCTTGTTAAAAAGAGGCCTTTCCTAATCCTCTTCAGGTGCTCTATTGTCTTTCCCCCAACTTTCAGATCTTTATGAATTGTTCTTTCATTTCCTTTACAGGAAGCCATATGTTAATTCAAACGACACGTGTTTTGTAGGTACCTCCTGATGGCCTTCTAATCTTCAAAGATTGCTCTTTGAGGAGCAATGTCTTCTTCACCAAATTGTTCTGGCTGCCAATACTTCTTTCACAGAAACTTCTGTGCCCACTGAAGGTTTAGATGGTCATTGCTTCTAAACCAAGATACGCCACTATCTGCAACAATGAGCAGCCCATGACAGACCACCGGTCTATGCTGCTTTAATATGAAAAATGTGCTTGTTATTTTCACCTCACTTCTCAAAGAGGTCAGGCTTGGTTTCTACATGGAACATTGGTGCCAGTAGGCAGTGGGATAAATGAATATAAGTTAAACAATATCCCCCCTGCCGCAGATTTGGAGCCCTTGGCAATATCTGTTTCCATTATGATTTAACCTGCTAAAACCTTGAGAAAACCATGATCACCCAGGGTAATACAGTCTTACTGAGGATGAATAATACATATAGTGTAAGTTGCCTTTGGTTTTTATTGTACTCACTCCTGGATGGAGAACCACAGTTATCACTTTGAACTTAGAACTCGCTTCCTTAGTGTCTGACACAATAAAGGGGAGCTCCTACAACCTATACTCATCTTGCTTTACCTCACTATTTCAGTTTTGTTGGCAAGTGATCTCTTCTACTAAAATGTGAGTTCACTGAGAGTATCTCAAGTGAACTCAAGATTTAGTGAGTATGTTTTGCCAAGTGCTGGACTTTTAAGAGTGAATAAAAGTCTCTGACCTTGAGGAGATTGTATCTAGTAAGAAAGACAGATGTAAGTACTACTAAATGGCAAGTACAGGGGTGGAGGCAGGTGTAAGTCACCTTGAGCTCAGACAGCACTTGGAGTTATTTTAGAGCGATACATAACTTCATAGGTAGCTGTGACTCCATGTTTAAAAAATAATAAAATGTACCTCCCACTCCTAGGACTTCTAATTAAAAACTTGTTAAAACTGAAAAATGGAAATTTAAGTCTAAAAATGTTCTACCAATATGATAGACCATTTTAAGAGACCTAATTTTATGTACCTCTTGAATTTCATGGAATAAGCCAACTCTCTTTCCTTTCCATCCCCCTTTCCTAATTAATTAATTTCTCTGTTATGCCTTTAACATATGTCAGCTGGCTGTCAACCTAGCGATGGAAATATATTTGAAGATAAGCCTTTATCTATAATTGATGACATTACTGGGGATGTAATCAACTGAGAGATTCTAAGTAATGGAAGTTGTGGAAGTCTGAGGTCTCACCAGTTATAACTTTTACTTAAACTGTGGGATTATGAGAAATGAAACTTAATATTTTTCTGAAAACTAAGTTCTTAGACTCGCTGCTAAAAAAATTTTGGTGTCATTGTTCTTTCTTTTAATGACTTAACTGACACATCTTGTTTGACTAGTATTTCCGATTACTGACTGGTTATGCAAGAACTTGCAAAATCTTTCAGCAGAGACTTCAGGCCAACCAAACTATCTCTCAATTCAAGAACAGAAAGTGTCTTAAATATCTAACTTTAGGAGTTCAATAAATATACTACATAAAAGTTAGGAAAAGGGTAATTGTTTTGTCATTCATGTTTTTGAGACAGGATCTCATATATTTCAGGCTGGCCTTGAACTCATTATATTTCAAAAGATGACCTTGAACTACATCTTCCTGCCTCCACCTCCCAAGTACTGGGATTACAGGTGTACATCATTCTGATTGGATAAGGAAAAGGATTAATTTTTTAAAGTGTGTTTTCAAAACCAGGTTGGATGAATCTCTGGTGTAACAAATACAGGAAATGAAATTTATAACACAAAGTCTGTATCACTCTCCTAAAAATCCTCTGGAATAATTAAAAATTATTTAGTCTTATCAAAGTTCTCTAAACTGCTATGGTTAGCTGAACGGAAGCAGAGCAAAGAAATACTAAAAACAATTCAAACCATTTTTTAGTCATTAATAACTTTCTCTGAAACTCATGCCATAAAAACTATGGCACATTTCTTAATCCTTTCCAACTTCCAAAACAACAGTAAGCTGTAGACTTGAGTGAATGGTTCCAATCTGGTTAGAAGCTAGAGAGCCAAAGAAACATCCAAGGAGGTTAGCATGCAAACCTCGGAAGAACTTTGGCTAAACAGTGAAACAACAGTTTGAGTTTTCTCTTTCCAGGTCCTTAAGTTACCAAAAGTTCATCTTCTACATTCTCCCCACCCCCCACATTTCTGGCTCAGTAATAAAACAGTAATACAGTAACTGAATTAAAAGATGAAAACTGCATAAAACTTACACTCCAAAAGCTAAGTCAACATTCTTTCAGATTGCTGTGTGTTCAGCTATTCTATCACTTCACATTTATATTTTTGGGCTCATGCATGTATTGCACTTATGCTGAGCTTGGCAGCATTAATATATGCTGCATGAATCCCATTTTTATCAGGAATCAGAAAATTAAAAGTGATTTGAGAAATACAAATGCTACATAAATGTACACACACACACACACACACACACACACACACACACATCTGGCCATTACTATTCCAAAACCCACTGTGAAGACAACTATTGCTGACTCTGAAATGCTCAGCAACTTTCTTTAAAAAAATTTCTATTTCAGTGATCTAATGTAATATAGCTGGTAAGGACCATCATAAAACAATGTGACAAAGAAAATCATAACATTCTTAATCCCTGAAATAATTATGGGGAGGTTTTAAAAATGTGTGTTATCTCAGCAAAGAAGTACATTGGGGTGGCACAGCAACTTGCTGGAAAGGAAACGGGAGGAGAGCAAGCAACACGGAAAAGTAATTTCATCTTTTCAGACCTCATCTGAAATACAAGTTTTAGACAAGAAGATAAGGTTTGAATTCCACAGATCTACTTCAGTCAAAATGGAATTTTTTTGTTGTTTTGCTTTTTGTTTTTTTGAGACAGGGTCTCCCTGTAGCCCCAACTTTCTTGAAACTCAATGATGTAGAACAGGCTAGCCTTGATCACAGAGATCAGCTTGCCTCGTCCTCTCGAGTGCTGGGATTAAAGGTATGCATCACCACGCCCAGGCAAAATGGAATTTTTAATTTAAAAAGGGACAGGGAACTAATCTTTCCTATAAAGAAACAAAAAGGGAAAGAAAGCAGATAAATACATCCTGATGACTTAGATCACAACTATGATAGCAACGAAGCTTGAAAGCAAAGTTGTCCCTCAGCATCTGAGAGAGGTTCCAGGAGCTTGTGGATCCAATCCTCAGATGCTCAAATCAAATCTCTCATATAAAATGGTGTAGCTCTTGTATCTGACCTGTGTACATTCTCCCATATGCCTTAAATCATATCTAGATTATACTACACATAATGCCCACACCATATAGGGAATGATGAGGAAAAGTTTTCATGTTTATTAGCACAGAGACAATTTCCCCCTGAATATTTTCAATGGTAGGTTGGAGGATTGACTATTTAAGCAAAATGCTGTAGTAAATGCAGATAAAGGAACTAACACTTTTAATAGGTGTGAAGATCTAGGCAGGAATGGGAGAAAAAGACTTCTTGATTATCCCCAACACTGTTAAACATGAACTTTGTAAAATAAAAGGAAATGTCTTCTTTACTATGACAGATTGTTTTCCAATTGAGGCTTAGGTTGAATATAAACTTATACTGACAAAACAATATAGAGCTCAGTATTCTAGTGGCATTAAGCATCTGAGAGATGCTGGGCAAGAGATGCCAGGCGTGGTGGTACATGCCTTTAATCCCAGCACTTGGGGGGGTCAGTTATTAGAAAACAGCAACTATTATATTCACTAAAACTCTGCAAAATATTTGACTCACATGCTTGAGATTTGTGGTCTTCTGAAAAAAACCTAATAGTAAATTATGAGAACCAAGCAGAGTCAAAACTAGACAAACTCTTTCAAAAATAAAGTTTGAGCATTTGTCAGATGGCATGATTTGCCCTCTGGTCTGGATTTCAGAGATAATTTAAAAATGTAGCTGATACATAGTTTTAAAAATTTACATATAGTATGTGCATGCAAGAGAAAATGTGTAAAATAAACAGAAAAATCTAGTCGCCAGTCAACAAAGGTTAACATTTTACATTTTTTTAGTTGGGTTCTGTTATTTATGTATATGAGTGTATTGTCTGCATGTAGGTAAGTGCACTTGTGTCACCCAAAGCCTGTGGAGGTCAGAAGAGGGCGTTGGAACCCCTGGAACTGGAGTTACAGAAGGTTGTTAGCCACCAGGTGTATGTTGGGATTTGAACGTGGGTCTTCTGCAAAAGTAGGCAGTGCTCTTAACCACTGAACCCCTCTCCAGCCTAGAGGAGGCCTGGTCTTCCCTCAGGGGAATATATGTAGCTGTGCTCAGCTGCTAGAACCTCCAAACAAGCTCTCAAGGTCCGATTATTTTTGTAGGCTCTTAGTTCTTCGACATCCTTTAGTCACCTTTCATTTATCATTAAAAAAAAAAAAAAATGAGGACTGGAGAGATGACTCAGGGGTTAAGAGCACTGGCTACTCTTGCAGAAGACCCAAATTCAAATCCCAGCACCCACATGGCAACTAACAACTGTCAGCCTCTTCTGTCCTCTGCAGGCATTGCATGATACGAGCACAATTACCCACGTGCAGGTAATACATGCATACACACAAAAAAAATTGAGATAGGGTTCCCTACGTAGTCCAGACTGGCCCTATATTTTCGATTCTCCTACCTCCACCTCTCAGGTGTCGGAATTACAGCTCAGACTCTTTATTTACTGCAGCTTCTTACAATAAATTTCCTAAACCAGTGTGCAGGAGAAAAGGGACCTACAAAGTAACAAGAAAATCTTCAATGAAAGTAAAACAAGGGCGAATTTCTGAGGCGAAGTACCGGGGCCAAACTCCAGCGTACGACTGATTTTCAGATCGAAGGGGTCACATATCTCACTTAAAGCTCATCTTCGCACCCGTGGTAGCTAGTAAATCAAGCACTACGCCAATCCACAGCTACCAGCCTTTGGCTTCTCAAAGGCACAGTTCCTTTCAGAGCGGGCCTCGCAGTACCAGAGCCAATCCAGCCCCGAAGCTACGGAGAGCTCCGCAGCCGACCGGCAGCGTAGTCAACGTCCACCCGCCTCATCCGCCCCAGTCTCCTTGACAACCAGGACAGGAAGTATGAGCCAACAGAAGCGTCCGCCGCGGCGGCCCAGACCCTCCCACCGCGCAGGCGCAGCCGGAGGCTTAGGGCCGCGCACGCGCTCACGTAGCTGCACGCTTTGGCCGAACCCTTACTTTGTCGTCACAGGGCAGATGGTTGGGGTGCGTCCGCCTTTTCCCAACCCCTTCCATCTTCCTTACCGCCCCTCCCCTCGTCCCTCGATCTTCTCCCTCTTTCCTCTCTCTCCCGCCCTCGGGCGTCTTCTGAAGACTCCCGCTTCCGGTCAGCGGCCGTCCGCCCTAGCGCGTCCCGCCTCTTCCGCCTGCCGGCGGCGCTGCGGGTGGCGGAGGCGGCAGCCGTAGCGGCGCCTGCGCTTTTCCCGTCAAGGTTGGCAGGCGAGTCCCCTGGGCCGTCCAGCTGGACGCGGCCGAGCCGCACCCTGGGGACCGATGGCGATGAACTATAACGCGAAGGACGAGGTGGACGGCGGGCCCCCGTGCGCTCCCGGGGGCGCCGCCAAGACGCGGAGGCCGGATAACACTGCCTTCAAACAGCAACGGCTGCCGGCCTGGCAGCCCATCCTCACGGCCGGCACTGTGCTGCCCACCTTCTTCATCATCGGCCTCATCTTCATCCCCATTGGCATCGGCATCTTCGTGACCTCCAACAACATCCGCGAGATCGAGGTGAGGGCGGGCGGTGGGCCGGTGGCCCGCGGGGTCCGGCAGCTCCGCTCGAGGTTGACAGACGGCCCCGCCCTCCGCGGCCGGCCGAGTTGCTTCCTTTCCTCCTGCCGCTTTTCTGAGTTTGCAGTTTTGCTCTGGCTTCCTACCGCAGGAGATTACACGGTTAGAAACGGAACGAATGTTTTTACTGTAGCAGGCATGTCAGGTGGACAGGACTGACTTACTGGGCGGTTTGTGTGGTCTTCTGAGAGTTAGCGCATGGGTTGTCCTAGGAAGAGGAAACAAGTGTGGCGGGGGAGTTACAGCTACCTGCAGCACCGAGGAAAGTGACGAGGTTAGGGTGTTATTACTGTGTGGGGAATTAGTCTGGGACGGAGACTAACCTTGTTTGTTGCTGAAGGACCCAGAGCATAGAGGTATGTAAAGAAATTAAGTCGTACGTTACAGGGCACAGCACCCTTCATTTTGAGTTCATTAGATGGTTTTAGTTGCCTGTGATATAGCTAAAAGACAACATGAAACTTCACTCCTGGTTTTGCTGTTCGGTGTGTTTATTTCTAACTATGCTCCTCGTTCGTCGTTCATCTTATTTTTGGTCCCAACTTTACACATCAGTGACCCCACACGGAGTAAGTTGGGATCTATTAAAACATTTCACAGATACTGTTTTTATTGAATAGTTCACTTACTCAGGCGTGATAGAAACACACCTGGGAAGGATTTTGATTTCTGCCAGAGCCGCGTTTACTGTGCTCTAGCCATCGGCAGTGGTGAAGATGAGCTGGTAGTGAGTAGCCAACTAGGCTGCAGAGCGTGTTCAACATCTCATCCCTCTTTCAATTCCAGGGTGTTTTCATCTGTTTGAAAGGGGCAAGAACTGATGCCAAGTAGTTTGATTTCTTTTGTTCTATCATATATGTACAAATATATGTATGTATATATATATACACACATGTATATTTGTGCACACATTATAAAAATAAATGCTACATGTGTGATTTTATGGGACTTTCAGAGTCATTTTATTTTGAGCTAGGGTCTAGTGGTTCCTCTTTGTGGTGTAATTTCCAATATTATCCAAAACAAGATTGTTGTTTTTAGATTGCACAGCGCTTACTTCAGTGTTAATAGAAGTAATAAGAATAGTATTTGAAGCCCACTTTGAAGACCTTTTACTAAGAATCACTTTCAATTTGTTGACTGAAGCAAGTGTCACCCATTTTTTCACTGTGTATTCTTAATTATCTTCCTTTCTTCATTTCCCTAACGGTCCTGCAAATGAAATCCAGAATTCTTTAAAATGCAGAGCTCTGGGCCCATCAGGTTGGGAACTGAAATAATTTTTATTTCAGAGTATTTTGGATTTCACACTTTAAGACAACTGGTGCAATCCATACATATATGTGAAAAATGCTCAAATCTGAAACACTTTTCTCATCCAGTTTGGATAAGGGATATTAAGCTTTTTTTCTATTAGCCATACTGTGATCATTATATCAGCGTATGAGGAGCATGTGTAGTGCAGACTGTGGTTCTAGGTAGGGCCATGCAGAGCTGAGTTACAGTCCAGCTAGGCCATTTAACTCAGGTTTTTGAATAATTAATTTCTCTGAAGCTTAGTTTCTTCATCTCTAAATAGAACAATGATTTCTTCTAAGATGTAAGAATTAGAAGCATTATAGATGTTAGGTCTGGTTAAGATGATCCTTAGCAGGAGATGAGAAATATGATTCCACTTGAGATTTGACAGTGAACTGCTTAAGAGTGTTGTGTCTTGATTCTCAGTTTTAAGCTTTCACACTATATTAAGATCCTTACTGGAATGACATTAAAACACAGTTCCTTCTAATTTAACATAAGAAATTCAAATCCTCTTATTTAAGCTTCTTAAGTTATTAAGATGAGGGGGCTGGAGAGATGGCTCAAGAATTAAGACCACTGGCTACTCTTGCAGAGGGTCCAGGGTTCAGTTCCCAACACCCACATGGCAGCTAACAGCCACCCATAACTCCAATTCCAGGGGATCCAACACCCTTTTCTAACCTCTGTGGGCATTGGGGACACGGGTGCACTTACATACATGCAGGTGACACACTTAAACACATTTAAAAAAAGAGAATTGAGATGAGCCAGGCATGGTGGTCCACACTTTTATCCCAGCACTTGGGAAGCAGAGGAAGGTGGATCTCCATGAGATTGAGGCAAGCCAGGTCTACATAGTGAGTTCTAGACCAGCTGGGGCTATAAGGAGATCCAGTCTCAAAAAGATTTGCACACACACAAAAGAGGTTTTTAGAAAACTACCATTGTGAATTCTATCATTCATGAGAAAATATTTTAAATATGAATATATTTACTAAACAAGATTTAATATCTTTATTATTTTCAGCAAGGAATATTTTCTTAATTTGGCAACTTTAGGAGCCAGACCATAAGATAATGATTTTCTTGTCTAAGGCTCTTGGCAAAGCCAAGATACTGAGTTACCTTGAAAATGACAGCGGGGTCATTTGTAACTTTTGCAAAAACATTTATCAGTGTGAAGTTATATAGTTTTAAATTAAGATTTAGAAAGCTGGGTCAGGTGTCCCGCACCTGCATTTTTAGCTACTTTGGGGGTGGCTGAGACAGGAAGATTGCTTGAATCTAGTTCAGTGCCAGCTTGTACAACATACCAGCATCTAAAAATAATAAATAGAAAATAATGATTACAGTCAATTGGGTGTGTTATTTACATTAACATTTAGGATAGAAAGTAAATACATACTTGAAACTAAACATTTACTTGAAATTAATATTGCCAAAAATGTTGAATATATATTTTCATGAAGTCTTAGTGAACTTGTCCCCATGTTGATAAACTCCCAAATTTTTCTTTTTTATCTTACTTCATTTACTCTTCTGAATTATTTAGTCCTGAAATTTCCTGTTTCTCTAGTCTCTGATTAAAAAAATTGTTATTCTTTTACGTCTGTGTAGTTTGAAATCTTAGATTCTAAGGTTTTTAAGGAGAGTAAATGTTTTACCCGCATTTAGTAATCTTTGTTTTTACTTAAACTTTAGCTTAGAATCAAGGAAGAAAAAGTTGCTTTTTAGAAATGATTGTTAAAGATTGTTAAGTTTGAAGATTTTAATATTCAAATATTCAGTTACTTAAAAGGAACCTTTGGAAATTAAGAGCTTTGAAACCATAGTGCTTTTGTTTCCATTTTTAGTACTAAGAGGGAGGGATGGCAAAGTAAATATTGCCTGCCTGAGTGTTTGTTATGGCCAGGAACTGAGAATGGTTTTCCAAGTGGACATTTGCAATCAGTTTTATAATTGGAAACAGTAGCTTGAATCCCAGTTGTATAGAATGTAACCCCTCTGAAAGAATTCCATTCTTCTCTAAGTAAACCTATGCTGCAACCAGAAATTGTATGTAACTATTACTCTTGGATCTTGAATTTCATCATTGAAAAAACTTGCAGACCTTCCTTTCTTGTTATGCAAGAACTTGCTCCTTGATCTGTGAAGTCTCAAATGTTTATTTTCTGTCCTTGTACAGAAAAAAAAAATGCCTACCTTTCATTTAGAGTTTTAAAGAAATACACCAGCAAATTTAGCATTTGCTACAAAAATGGTTGTGTTAAATTACACATTCTGAGGATTTCAGGTAAATTCTTTAAGTACTTAAAATGGGCTTTTAAACGTAATCTGATTAATACTTAAAGTGACTTATTACTCAGCATTTTGTTGTATGACCTGTTTAGGTCTTATATTGATTTCCTTTTAGATAAATTTACATTCAAATTGGAAGTTTTCCAGCCTTCCTTGTATACAGTGTAAGAAATGAATGTCCTTCAAATCCCCCCTCCCCCATGTTAAATTCAGAGTTTCTCTTGGGAATAGGGTGTATTTTTGGAATTACTAAGGAGAAGTGTCAGTTTGATTTAGGGAAACATTCACAGTTGTAGCAGAACAAAGATGAGAAACAGGGTTATACTTTTTTTGGTCTTTTTGAGACAGGGTCTCTTTGAAGCCCCAGCTGGCCTAGAGCTCGGTATATAGACCAGGCTGGCCTTGAATGCACAAAGATCCACCTGCCTCTCTCTGCCTCCCGAGTGCTGAGAGTAAAGTCGTGTGCCACTACGCCCGACCAAGGTAGGGTTACACTTTTCAACTAATCTCATCAGCATCTCTTCTGTATTGCCCCTATAGTTTTTTCTTTTTTCTTTCTTTTTTTTGTCTTTTTGAGACAAGGTCTCCCTGTAGCCCCAGCTGATCTGGAACTTACTCTGTAGTAGACCAGGCTGGCCTTGAACTCACAGAAATCCGCCTGCCTCTGCTTCCCAAGTGCTGAGATTAAAGGCATATGCTTCTAGTTTTTTGTCATTTGGATTTAAGTTATCTGAAGGCTCTCATTGTATTTTGAACTGTGCCTGATACTCTTTTGTCATTTAAAAATATTATTACTTAAATAATATTTTTATTTGTATGAATGTGTTGCCTAATGTACATAAGTACACCCATGTTGTGTAAAGCCCATGGAAGTCAGAAGAGGGTGTTGGGTCCCCTGGAACTGGAGTTACAGACCATTGTTATCTGCCATATGGGTGCTAGGAGTTGAACCCGGGTCTTCTGCAAGAGCAGCCAGTGCTCTTAACTGCTGAGCCATCTCTCCAGCCCTTAAAATATCAATTTTTTAAAATGGGGGAATTGAGTCCCCTCTTCTACTTGGAAACCTCTTTTAAGGCTTGGAATGAAGCCTAGTGGAAACGTTGCTTTTTGAAAACTTGTAAATCGTCACACCCTGCAGCTTTTATTATAATTTGGAAATAGTCATTATGCCTGTGACCATTTTACAGTTTATAGAAAAAGATGGCAAATTAGGCCATGTGGTGCCATGTGCCTTTAAATCTCAGCACTTTGGAGGCAGAGGCAGGCTGATCTCTGTGGGTTCTTTCATGCCAGTTTGGTCTACATAGTGAGACCCTGTCTCAAAAAAACAAAACCAACCA